GCACAACAGTGATAAATTGCTTGTGTGAGTCTGAGATGTTTCCCTTTGACTTTTTTATTAATATTGGCCAGTCATATAGCATTCTCACTCCTGGCTGTCAGCAGGTCTTCTTTAATAATTTACTAATATGCTTGTAACACAGAAATCTGATGCCAATATCATGTTCATCTCACATCAAATGCCTGTGGTGGAAGTTTTAAAAGCAATAGTTTGATGAAAAAAAAAAAAAATCAAACATTTACAAAAATTTGTAATCATTTTCCTCTTTAGCCCAAATGTAATTGATCAGCTGAGACATGTTTGGTGACTGAAGTTTGCTTCTTTGGTTTTGCATTAAAGCTACAAGACTACTGAAGCTAACAAGCTAATAAATGCTTATTAGCAATTAGCATCGTCAGCACCACCTTCCTCAGTGTTCCTGAAGGGTTAAAGTATCAGTGGTGATTTTAGAGCAGTGCAGTGGTGCTGTGATGAAGGCGATGTTGACTGTTGAAGCAGTGCTGGATGAAGCAGGGAGTCGTGCTGGAGGCCTCCACTGCTCCCTCTACTCATTAGGAGCAGGCTGCCTCACTGCTCCCCCGCCAGCTCTCCTGCGTCTGGACCTCAGACGGCCCTGCCTGCATCTGCCTTCACACGTACACTCAGCACTCAGCTCAGGCCATGAGAGCACAGTAGTTTAAAGTTTTCCTAAGCAATCAAACAAAGTTTTCTCTGAGTCAGGCCAACATAGGTTTTTTTAGGAATGCTAAAGCTAACAAACATCAACTCGGGTGGAGAGACAGGACAGATTCTCAAAAATAAAGGTGTCAAAAGGGTTGTTTGGAGGGGTTCTATAGAAGAACCAGGTTTGTTTCTTGGGAAGAACCCATTTGTGTAAACAAGTTGTGTGTAATGTAAATGTTCTGCATCAATAAAACATGAAACATGCAGTCAGTTCCAGTTAAAAAGCTATGAGGTACAGGTTATGGATAATAAAGGATAATAAAGGATGTGTAACTGTCCAGAAGCTGTTACTGAGAAAAGAAAATAAACAAAAAATGTTAATTTTTTAAAATGTATTAAGTCCAAAACGTACATCTTAGATCTGGAGTAAGCTTTTCTTTGAACTCATATGTCTAAATTTGTGACTGAGATTACTTGGACTGTGACAGGCAGAAAAAACAACCAACTTCTAAGACTGAACTTTGGAGGTGTGGAAAAGTATCCCTGCAGATTTCTTTAAAAAACTGAAAGCGAGTCTCCTGAAAAGACTGGAAGCTGAAATAAAGGATAAAGGATGGACAAACTAAATACTGAACGATTTTATATTCAGTAAAAAACTTGTGCTTAATGTCTTTGACTGAAAGTTAAACAAATGAAAGTTTGTCTCTGATTTTTTCACGGTACTGTACATGCAAGCCAAAAAACATTAAGGGACTTTTATTTTGAAGAGTGGAGAAAAACGATTCTGCTGTTTTTTGGCAATCTCATTTCGACATATAGTTAATCTGCCTTTATAGATTCATTCATGGCACAGCTTCACACTCGTTCAGCAGGAACACTATCAAAATAAGAGTCCCATTTCATGTACTGTTGAACGTAGGCTTACTTGATTTAATTGAACACTAAAATATTGATTATACACTAGGCATTTGTAAAGGTACTGCTACTAATACTACTGCTACCACCTATAGTATAATTGATATTAGTATCAATGGTTGCAGTAGTAGTTGTGGTTTGCGGTGACAGAGGAATTGTCAATAAACATTAATAAGATGCATTTAAATAAGTGAAAATGTCATATAGTTATGATTCGAACTTGAAATCAGTTATGAGTCACTTTTTTCCTTGCATTTTTTCAACCGACCTCCCTTTGAGAAGACCACATGGCTGGTGGACCCCAAGTTTGAGACCCCTGCTTTAGGGTGTGTCTCTGCTGTTATTGTCCTTCAGCTTAATTATGACAAAGCAGTGGGTGCTGGAACAATTCATAAGTACATACATGCATCATTTTTTCCTAATCGATCCAATATTATTCCTTCCTGAGGCGGAACCACACAGTCATTAGACTGCAGCCAGAGATGAGCTCCCCGATTGTGTACATAGGCCGAGTGCAGGGAAGCAGTACATGCTCAAGCCAAATACAGCGAGGAGGTGGCTGTGGGGGCCGCAGCTGTGAATTTGTATTTCAATCAGGGTTCAGGCCCAGCAGCTCGAGCCTATCTGCTTAGCCGGAATAGGCAGAGCGTTCCGAGCCGTGCTGTGATGGAATGGTTCACTGCTTGCTAATTCCTCAGAGTCTATTGAAATGGGTCTGGGCAGTACCGTATTAGCCAGGAGTCTGGGCAGCAATGTATTAGCCACTTGGATGGACGGATGCTAGCTGCTAAAGGTATAACAATTTCAATATAGTATCTGAACTAGGTATCTAGAGTATTGTATGGCTGCAGGAACCATCATTTTCAGAGTTAGCTCCACTTGTATTACTTTAAGACTATCAGTAGACGTTCTATCATCCAGTTGGCTGTTACATGGTTAGCTAATGCTAATCCTGTACATTTTTAGACCTCTGTATTCAAATCACTGCATAAACCTTCATTACAAAACAAGTGAAAATGTACAGTTCATGTACTTTTCCACTGAAAATGACGGGAAGTGCAATGTTCCATTTTCCCCAAATGGGTGGGGTTGATTGTAACAGACAGAGGATTAGTAGTAACCTTTGCTAGAAAAGTCTGATGAATAAGTGCAAACAAAGTTAATTCAATATAATTCTATGTTGTAAAAAAACAAATATATTTTCCAACCAAACTGCATTAAGTATTCTCTGTCTATAAGACAGACAGACAGACAGACAGCTCAATCGATAGATACACTCACAAACATCAAATTATATATGAAAACTGATATGAGACTGTATGTCAAACAATGATGATTTTTTTTTGTCTAGTGAAGGACAGCAGATAAAAAACATCACCCATCAGTGAAATATGGAACATTGTTTCTGAATGACTACAGCTTTACACACTGTTAATGTCAGTCATTAATATACGTATTTAAAATCAAAATACTAACATCTGAAAGATGCTACTGAAGTGGAAGAAAATCCGTGTTTTACGATTTTTTCTCTTTTTCATCTTAAAATCTGTGTAAAAATATGAAAAAAGAGGAAATTAACTTCATTTCTCTTTGTTTACTAAAGGTGACTTAGTTATAAAGCCATGTAACAACTAACCCCGCAGGACAGAGGCTGAACTTAAGCCCAGCTAGCACTTCCTGTGAGCTTGTCAGCTGCTTCAAAATGGTGCTATGTTGTAGACAACAAGATGGTGCTTAAAGTAATGTCAGGTTGGTTTTTGTGATTTACACAAAAAGCTCAGTAACCGAAAAAAACTTGTGTTGAAAAAATGACTTACATGCCCTGAAAACACTCTTGCGCACAGACTTCTTTAAAACGCTGACAAATTGCTCTGAATTTCGATGGAAGACCGTGGCTAGGAAATATGGTACTGTGCAAGCCAAAAAAACATTAAGGGACTTTTATTTTGAAGAATGTAGATAAAAGGCTCTGCTGTTTTTCGGCAATCTTATTTCGACAGACAGTTTAATCTGCCTTCATGGATTAATTCATGGCATAGCTTCACACTCGTTCAGCAGGAACACTATCAAAATAAGAGTCCCATTTCATATACTGTTGAACGTAGGCTTACTTAATTTAATTGAACAATAAAATATTGATTATACTCAATGTATTTGTAAAGCTACCTCTACTAATACTACTACTACCACGTACAACTAATACTAATATTAATATGGTATAATTAATATTAGTAGCAGTTGTAGCAACAGTAGTGGTTTGTGAAGACAGAGGAATTGTTAATAAACATTAACTAAGATGCATTTAAATGAGTGAAAATGTCATATTGTTATGATTCGTACTTGAAATCAGTTATGAGTCACTTTTTTCCTTGCAATTTCTGCTTTAGGGTGTGTCTCTACTGTTATTGTCCTTCAGCTTAATTATGACAAAGCCGTGGGTGCTGGAACAATTCATAAGTCTGCATCATTTTTTCCTAATCGATCCAATATTATTCCGGCGGAATAATATTGAGGTGGAACCATTGGCCAGAAACACATGCTGCTTGACCCTTTATAACAACATTAAAAGTCTGTGTTAAATTGTGTCCTGTTCCCAGCGCTCATATATGTATTTATGGTAATTAATGATGGGCAATAAGGGAGAAATATAACAACGTAACATAAAAATTGCAAAAAAGTTGGCATGGACAAAATAGTACCCCCACTTTTATAAAAGGCTATGGCAAGCTGAGACTACTACCACTACTAATGCAGTGTTCAACCAAATAAACTAATGAACACGAACAATTAAATAGTTACTAAAAGTAATTGGATAAAATACTTTGTTACTGTGCTGTTTATGCAGTTACTTTAGATTTGCTGATTTACAGGCTTTCTATAATTGGTCTAAATCTTTTTCTGCCGTTGATCAAGACTGATGATATCAGCAATATGCTCAGAAAAGCACTATATATGATATGAATTAATATAATGACATAATAACATATCATTATATTGGCCACTCTTAGTATGTTTACTTCCCTGCAGTGGATGCACATATGGAGAAATGGAAGTAGTGAAAGAATGATTGATAAAATGCTCAGAAATAAATAACTGGTCAGGGAAATGGGGAAAAATAGAAAATTAAGGCTTAAATTAACCATAACATAGACGCATGAGTAGTCTTCTTGTTTTTGAAACCACAGAACTGAGGCTTTACATTGTTGTATATTTGTGAGAAAGGTGCCTCTTCTTACTGCACTCTTTCTGAAAGTAGTTGTTGAACTCAATATTTTTATTCATCTTTTTTTTTGCGGACAGCAGCCAAGGACGAAACAGCAGGGGTCTGTTGTGAAATGCCTCTTTCTCCCGCCAGTAAACAGAACAAGCTTCTGCAATTATGGAAATGCATGTACATATAAATGCTCTTGTGTTTTCCGCAGGTGATGGTTCTGTACTTCCAGCCCAGCGTGTTCCGCTGTATCCTGCTGAGATGGGTGCGCATGCTCGGTTTTGCTACAGTGTATGGAACAATCACACTCAAACTGTACAGGTACTCACATATACTCACTTTCCATTTTCAGTGAATGAGGAGGTGGATGGATGGATGGATGGATGGATGGATGATAGATACACTGCTCTCACATATAGAGTGCAGTTAAATGTAATATTTTGTTATGATGGGTATTGGGGCTGTCATAATTTAAACTTTTTAAAATGTAATCAGTTTAAAAAATCTTCTGTGAAAAAAAGCTTTCTTACTGAACTGATCGGTTGCTAGTTTGTGTGATGACAATGTGCGTTTTAAATTCCTTAAATTAAATCTTATAATGTTTTGAAAGTATTTTAGAGGATGTGGACAGCTAGTCATGTATTAAGATTAAGAGACCCTTATTATTCCCACAACAAGGACATTTCACCTCTGCATTTAACCCGTCCGCACAGTGAAACACCACATACACACTAGTGAACACACACACTAGGGGGCAGTGAGCACACTTGCCCAGAGCAGTGGGTAGCTCTATCCACAGTGCCCAGGGAACAGTTGGGGGTTAGGTGTCTTACTCAAGGACACTTCAGTCACGTATTGTCGGCGCAGGGGATTGAACCGGCGACCTTCTGGTCACAGGGCTGGTTCCCTAACCTCCAGCCCACGACTGCCCCCATCATGAAATAGGATACCATCAGATCTGAGTTGGTGTTATCATACACTACTCTATCCACAATGCAGTGGGAACATTTTATATATTTTACTATTTTATTTATCCAGCATTTAAAAGTGTCAGCTGTACTTTGCATTGTGTACACATTTCATGATACATGGACCAATAGAAATTATGCAAAATGATCTTGTTATAATAATTTACGCAAACCCTTTATGTGGATAGTCCATTGTAAATACTTTTTATTAAGTGACATTCAACAAAAATATCTAATTTAACTTATCTAATCCTAACCCTAAACTTAAAGTCAACCCAAAACCCAATCCTAACCCTAACTCTGGTCCTAAACCTAACCTAATCCTAACACTCACCCTGATGCTGAATCACCAGTTTCACCAGATAATTTTGTAATAATTTTAACATCTGTAGATAATCTATCGGGCGCTGCAGACGAACATCATCTGGCGTAGACTCTGCTTGATTGTGAATGACGGCTCTAATCGTGGTAGAACTCATGTAATGTAACACCGGCTGTGGAGCAGAGCTGAGTTATCAGCAGGCTTTGGCTTAGAGATTGCGTGAGTGCTCTGGAAGAGACATTCTGTCTCCAAGGATTTTTGATCAGTGCCTGCAGGAGTCCAAGAGGTAGATGCACACCTACACACACACACACACACACACACACACACAAACACACACACACACACAAACACACACACACAGACACACACACACATGTACACATGCAGGAACACACGCTCGCCCACCCCCGCATGCACCGGGTGACTCACAGGCATTTCACGGCTGGCCATGTTATTAAATGTCAGAACGTGCACTTTCCTAATATGGCTGCCGATGAGGCGCTGTCCGCGGTGGGCTCTGCCATTTCAGAGCGAACTGTCAGAACAACCCCACAGACCGCTGGCTGGGGAGGGGGGAAGAAATGTCAGCCGACAGATTGGCCGGTGCAGGACAGGGGCCAAAGGCTGTGCCTCTGTGCCATCAAAGACCGAGCTATGTTAGCATATTCATTTGGGCTCCTGCATCGGATTAAAGGAATAGTTTTGCCAGAAATGCGAACGCCATCAATTAGCATTATGCAAACAGCAATGCACTCATGCTAACTGGTGGTTACCAGCTTCCAGTCATTGTGAGCCATGTTAGCATATTTAGTGCAGCCTCTACCTCAGATTAAAGGGATAGTTTCGCCAAAAAAGTGAAAGCTATCAATTAGCATTATGCAAATAACAGTGCAATTATGCAAACTGGTGGTTACCAGCTTCCAGTCATTGTGAGCCATGCTGGCATTGGGCAGGTGCAGGAGGGACTAAACGCTTTGCCTCATTGCCTTCAAAGATCGGGCTTGGATTAAAGAACCGTTTGGTCAGAATTGCTAATATGGCTAATAATTCTAATTGATGGTTATTAGCTTTGAGTCATTGTTAACTATGTTAGCATATTTGTTTTGGCTCCTGCCTCAGATTAAAGTAATAGTTTTGCCAGAAATGTGAAAAGCCGTCAATTAGCATTATGCAAATAACAATGCAATCATGCTAAATGGTGGTTACTAGCTTCTAGTCATTGTTAGCTACGTTAGCATTTTTGGTTGGGCCTCCTCCTCGAATAAAAGATGTAGTTTTGGCAAAAATGTGAAAGATATTGATTAGCATTGTCCAAATAACCATGCAATCATGCTAACTGGTGGTTACCAGCTTACAGTCATTGTTAGCCATGTTAGCATATTTGGTGCAGCCTCTACCTCAGATTAAAGGGATAGTTTCGCCAAAAAAGTGAAAGCTATCAATTAGCATTATGCAAATAACAGTGCAATTATGCAAACTGGTGGTTACCAGCTTCCAGTCATTGTGAGCCATGCTGGCATTGGGCAGGTGCAGGAGGGACTAAACGCTTTGCCTCATTGCCTTCAAAGATCGGGCTTGGATTAAAGAACCGTTTGGTCAGAATTGCTAATATGGCTAATAATTCAAATTGATGGTTATTAGCTTTGAGTCATTATTAGCTATGCTAGCATCTTTGTTTGAGGTACTCCTTTAATGCTCTATAGCCAGTGCCAGTACTAGGGATTGTCTTCAGCCCAGCAACTGGGTAAGGAAGATAATTATAGACAAGAGAACTCCTGTTTACCTTGTCTGGACGCACAAATGTGATATTAATTAAAGACCAATCTGATCCGACTTCAGATTAAAAGATTAGCGTGACCCAAAATGTTAGTGCTGCTAAATGTGAAATGAAACTGAAAAGCAATAAATTAACATTATGCAGATGAAAATAAAGTCATGCTAATTGGTGGTTACTAGCTTAAAATCATTGTCAGTCATGTTAGCATATTTGGTTGGGCAGTTTAGACATCAGGGCTAAAGGCTTTGCCTCAATGCCTGTTAAAGACCCATTTGATCCTGCTCCAGATCAAAGAGAGAGTTTTGCCAGAAATGCTAATATTGCTAACAGTGAATAAAAATGAATAGACATATATTAACATTATGCAAATAATGATGCAGTCATGCTAATTGGTGTTATAGATTCCAGACATCCTAGACATGTTTGCATGTTTGTCTGAGCTACTTCTTTAATGCTTTTTAGCCCTGGCCAGTACCGTGGCTATGTTAAGCCTAGCATGTGGGAGAGGAAGGCCATGATAATCAAATTATAAGAGAAATTGTACTAGCCATGTTTCGATGTACAAATGTGGTGCTAATTAAAGACCAGCTTAATCCTCCTTCAGATTAAAAGAATAGCTCAGCCTGACATCCTAGTGCTGCTAACATGCTAGAATGATATCTGGTGGTTACCAACTTCCAGTCATTATTAGCCATGTTAGCATATTAGGTTGGGCCTCTGCCTCAAATTAAAGGGGTAGTTTTGCCATAAAATTTAAAAGCTATTGATTAGCATTATGCAAATAACAGTGCAGTCATGCTCACTGGTGGTTACCAGTGTCCAGTCATTAGGTTTTTAGGCCATGGTTATGTTTGTTTGACCTACTCCATTGATGTTTTTAGCCATACCAGCACTGGTGGCTATTTTGAACCCTTACTGTGACCTTATTATAAAAGCTTTCATGCTCACTTTGTCTGGTTGCACAAGTGTGATGCTAATTTTCATAGAGAACTATTTCATACCTCCTATCTTTGTTATGTTCCATTCAGAGTCCTTTATACGCAGTTAAGCGGGTTCTGCATTATTTCAGCAGCCACTTAATGAACTTTTGATCACGGCTGTAACGTTTTCACCCTCTGCTTCTCCTGGCGTTCGGTCTCTGGACTGCTTTATTAAGAAAGGTTTTCCCCTCATGAGTCACTGCGGTCTCCTTTTTACGCAGAGTTAAAGTTTATATTAGCCCTAATTCCCATTTAATGTCAGTGGCCTATAAAGTGTGTTGGCACTGCGTGTTCCCTGGCTACTTTGGGTGAAGTGTACTTTAAAAAAAGATTCACGACCTTGTTAAGCCACGCGGAGAAAGGCCCTGCTGAAACCGTAGGAGAGAAAAAAACAAATAACAGAAGGCACTTAGGCCAAAATGGCCACAATTTATTACATTTTATCGAATGGTTGAGACAGCAGAGGCAGAAGACAAATGGAGAGCGACTCGTCCGCTGGGACCTGGAGTCTGAATCCTGGAGCCAGGCCTCGAGACCAGGAAGAGCACTCTAGAAGTGGAGGAGGGTGTGGAGCAATAAGAGACAAGACGGATACACTGACAGATGACAGCCAGATCATTATCTACAGCGGCATGCAAAAGTTTGGGCACCCCTGGTCAAAATTCCTGTTACTGTGAATAGCTAAGTGAGTAGAAGATGAACTGATCTCCAAAAGGCATAAAGATGAATCATTTTTTCATTATTTTAAGCAAGATTAGTGTATTATTTTTGTTTTGTACCATTTTAGAGTGAGGAAAGTAAAGGAGCACCATGCAAAAGTTTCAGCACTCCAAAACATTTGAGCTCTCTGATCACCTTTACCATGGTTTCAGGCCTTAATTAGCTTGTTAAGACCAGATGGTGCAAATTTCAAAGCTTAATGAATACTCTGACTCCTCAAACCTTCTCAAACCTTGTCCCAACAATCAGCAGCAGTGGTGGACGAAGTACACAAATCATGTACCTGAGTTAAAGTAGAGATACCCAAGTCGTCCCTTTAGACCTCCACTTGAGTAAAAGTACAAAAGTATTTGTCTTCAAATGTACTTAAGTATCGAAAGTAAAAGTACTAAAAGATTAATTATGACTCTGGTGTCCTGTTATCATTTTTGTAACAAGACCTTTGCTTCAGTAAGTAATGTTAGGTGAAAATACTCCTGTGTCACTCTTGGTAAAGAGTCTTTTAATAGAATGTCATTAATTAGTGATGCTGATGTCTATTAAAATTATCA